GTCACTGACCCCTGAAAGGACAGACAGGTGTCTAACACGGGCACCAAGGCTCCGCAAGGCCCTGACCAAGGAGGGAAGTGACTGGCAGCGAGGAGGGTGGGCAGTGTATGTAGGAGTGGCAATGGGACTTTGCAGAATGCTCGGTGGTCACTGAGAGTGTAACTAAGAGGAGAGCTGGTTTGCTTTGCTGTATAATGGAGAAAACGAGAAAAAAACACACCATCTGATATGTCCTGACATATTTTACAATTTTGTGAAAGGTAAAGGATTATACATGTGAACAACATGAATTTCCGGCTTTGGTTGTAAAAACTCCTAAGGTCTTACATCACGTCATGAATGAACAGTGAAGACGATTCCTTTGTGTTTAATAGTCAATAGATAGTGTCCTTAATACCAGCCTCTTTTGACATGATTTGGCAAGAATTTCCTTCTTATAACAACTGGCTATGGCAGGCGGCAGCAGCGCCCTAGAAGGGAGGCGTGCACTCTCCGGCTTACACACCCCTCCCACTCCTGAAGAAATCGCTGTGAAACTCACAGAACAAGGAGGATGAGCCCCAACGTATCAGGGCCTCCCCAGGCGGGACTGCAAGGCCTCCCAGCACGGAACCGGTGCTTTTGCCCTCAGGGTTGGAGGGAATAAGAAGGCCCTGGTTCTGCACCACCTGAGTGACCCATGTGACTGTTAGGCATGAAAAGGAATGTTAAAAGGTCCCACACTAGCAGCCCCAAATGTGTGGAGGGTTACAGGTCATACTTTGCACTGAACAACATTATTTTCCGTGATAAGGATGAGCGAGTCACAGAGAAAGAAGCTGCTTCCTAGAGTAAACAGTGGGACTTGCAACTCAGGTGAAGGTGGACTCCCCGGCAAAACTCTGGATTTGGACACAAGTATGACAAAACGTGAGAGGGAAGAGGGACTATACACAGCGGGACTAACGGGATGGCTGGCCTTATTCACCTGAGAAGTATGATTGCCAGCCAGGCATTCAGCCACCAAAACAGCCAGTGCTCCTCGCTAAATACACTGGGTGTCGTGTCTGAAAAGTGAGCTCCGAGTTCCGAGCTTTTATCTCGCTCAGGCCGGGAGCGGGTCACGCATGCGCATGCCCAGGAGGGGCTGCTAACCAGGCTGCTAACCGGACCCCCAGCTTCCGGCTTAGCGGCCCGGGCGGGCGGGGCTGACACTGCGGGCCCGGGGGTCGCCCTCTGAGAGCAGATACAGGTGCTGAACGTGGCCGCTCCATGTAAACATGGTGAATAAATGAGTGAGGGGCCGCTGGAGCAAGAGACACAGGACCCAGCACTTCTTCGAGTATTGAGAGAGGAGGCAACAGCACAGCTGGCTCCCAGTTCAACCACGAAACACACCTGCCCACACGGCCCTGGCTTCCCGTCCACCCGCCTGCACCCCTACGGCCCAGGCCCAGGAGAGGAGCGAGGGGGCGGGACCCCTCAGGCCTGAAGTCACCGCGTCCCTTGGGAGAAGAGAGGAGGCGCCGCTTACCTGAGACATGGCTCCTGCGGGCCGGGCCCCAGGAACCGGGTCCCGCCTCAGGGGGTTCCCGTCGCTCCACATCCACCCGCCTCGTCACACGGGGGCTCGGAACACAGCAGCCGGGGCGCCCGCCAGGTCTCCCTTCAGGCCAGGAGTCCAGCCTGACCTGCACCCCTACACCTGCTCCTTTGCCGGGGCCACAGGACTGCACTTCCTCTGCGATTCCGGCAGCGTGGGCTCCGGGCTCCGGGCTCTGGGCTCCGGACGGTTAAGGCCCAGGCAGCAGGCGGGGTGATCTCGCCGCAGGCGTGTTGGGCACCTTCACCTACCTCCGGCCCAAGAAGCCCAGACTCCACCGGGCGTCCTGGAGTCCAAACGGCGCCTTTCGGAACCCCGGGGACCAGGCCGCGGGCCCCAGACAACTGCACTTCCCAGGATCCACCGCTGCCTCAGCGCGCGTGGGAGGAAGGCTCCCCGTCACACACTACAACTCCCACAACCGCCCAAGTGCGGAGAGAAACAACGGGCCTCAGACAACTACACTTCCCAAGACACACCGCGGTCTCAGCGACCTGTGGAAAGAAGGCTCCCCGTCATACACTACAACTCCCAGAACGCCCCACGTCCTCAAGAGAACTACACTTCCCAGGTCACACCGCGGCCCCAACGCTCCGTTGAAGTCAGACACCCCATCACACACTACAACTCCCAGAACTCCCCACGCCAGCAGAGACAAAAACTGGGAGCCTCAGACAATTGCACTTTACGACTCACTGCGCCTTAGCACGCTTCAAGAAAAAAAGGCTCTCGGTCACACACAAAAACACCGGAACGAAGCAGAGTCTGAGACGTCAGTCTCCAGACGACTACATTTCCCAGGATACACAGCGGCCTCAGCGCAGGGGAGTTATGGCGCCTCCAGACAAAGGCCATTGTCCTCGGGCCACTACAACTCCCAGGACGCTGCGAGGCCCTAGCATCCTGAGAGGCAAAGCGCCACCTTCACATAACTACAATTCCCAGAACCCACTGCAGTCCCAGCACTTCTATGATTTCCAGCTTCATACAACTATACTGTGGCCTGAACGCATGTCCTAAGAATACAATCAGGAAAAAAACGACTTTATTGTGTTGCTTCACTCTATTTTCACCCCAAATGGAATGACTCCCAAAAGGGTGAATTTGCTTTACAAAAGAGTGAGCTTGCTTTGAAGAGGGGTTAATTTCAAGTGGAAAACCTGTAACTGGAATTCCTCCCCTCCGAGGACTGGTATTCCCAGAGACCCTCGTGGCCTAGCCACCAGGGGCTGGAAGCGACAGTTCCCCCCTTTTCTCTCCCCCCCGCCCCCCGATCTGCGGAAGAATAGGTGATTCTGGGGCCACTGTTTGGAATCAGTGATGACCTATCACCATTAGCTGCTCCCTGGTGGTCAGTGCGCTCCCACAGGGGGAGCTCTGCTCAGCCACAAGCCAGGCTGACGGCTGCCAGTACAGCGGTGGTGGTGGGAGCCTCTCCCACTTCCTCAGCAGCACTAAGGATGTCAGACTGCAGCTTAGGCCTGCTCCCCACTGGCAAGTGGACATCCCCCGAGGGCTCCCGGGCTACCAGAGGGATGTCTGATTATCAGCTTAGGCCCAATCCCCCGGGGAGCGGGCCTAAGCCAGCAGGTGGTCATCCCCCGAGGGGTCCCAGACTGAGAGAGGGCACAGGCCCGGCTGAGGGACCCTCCCCCGACAAGTGCACAAATTTTTGTGCACCAGGCCTCTAGTTTAATTATAAGCTACAGATATCACATGGAAACGTGTTCAGAGACCAGCAGGTAAGAAGAGCAGCTGCTATCTTTGAGGGGGTGTTTTACACGAGGATGAGGCAGGGTTGCTGTTATACCACAGGGTGGAGAGGACCGGGCCTCTAGTTTAATTATAAGCTACAGATATCACATGGAAACCTGTTCAGAGACCAGCAGGTAAGAAGAGGAGCTGCTGTCTTTGAGGGGGTGTTTGACACATGAGGATGAGGCAGGGTTGCTATTATACCACAGGGCGGAGAGAAATATGAGTGGGTTTAGTGGATCCACTCAGGTGCTTCTTGGCTTCCTCGTCCAGTGGTGATAGTAAATGGATAAATCAAGTCGGGAATGAGGAGGGCATAGTGACTAGGACTCAGTAATGAGAATCCGGTTCATGCCATCAAGCAGGGCAATCACTTATTTTCCAATCACTTTACAGCCAGTGAACCTCAATAAACACCCTGCCCCCTACATTTTATCACATTATCTGCTTCCAGAGAACCCACTTATGGCTTGTATGAAGAATATTTGGATTTTAAGAAACAAAACTTGAACCACCTGAAGCAAACATGGCGTTTTATTAGGAGGATATCTGTGATATCTCACAGGAGAACCCAGCGATCAAGGCATGAATGGGCAGAGAAGAATGCATATCAGGACAAGAACCAGATTCTGGGTCTCAGTCAGCACTGTCCCTTGCCTTTGCTTCCACAATGGCTTAATTTTCCTCTCACTGCAGATTATGCTTCTCCATGTGGTAGAAAACATAGCTACGATAAGCAATCACATTTATATATAAAGCTTCAGTTGCTAAAATTATATAGACAAGATTGTTCCAGCTTTCTAATGGAAAAGATAAAACATGCGATGATTATATCACAGTGACAAATACATATACAGGCTCATAAAGCTTGGAGAGGCATTAATAAGAAACAAGGGAATTTCAGTGGAAGATTTGCAAAAAGCATCTGAGAATGTAATTCCAAGGAACTGCAAGTAGTTCAAGGAGGCCAAAAAATAGTAAGAGGAGAGGTAAAGTATTCAGAAATTATGGATAGGCATGTATTTGTCTCATGGGGATATACCATATTTCACTTTCTTAAGTCCACAATTAGCTATTCAACATTTCTGCACAAGTGTAATCACAATTATATTTTAAAATAACTATGTATGAGTGTGAAAATAGACTAAAAAAGAATGAAAGCAAGGTGCAAGAAATATGCATACAGTTGCAAGGGTCATGGTTGAGTTAATCAACACTTAGGTCATGACTAGTTAATGAACATCTGAAAGCTTGGTACCGTATTTTGTTTGTTTGTTGTAGTACTGTACTGTATTTGTAAACCAACAAGCTCAATGAAATTGACAAACTGGGTATATATTGCTGGGATAAATGACATAACACATTACTGTGGTCCCAAGCATAGATATCAAATGACTACTGACCTACATTCTGCTTTTTAATACAGATAAATCTAGTATTGTGAGTTTATTGATCCTCATAAACATCCTGCTCCCCAAATTTCATCACATTATCTGTAAGAAAATATCAGGAACATATGGATCCACAGAGATACCTGTCAGAAGATACACGGCACACAAAGGGAAGCTGAAGAGAAAGCACTACTACAACAGACCTCAAAATTCATAGACTAGACTTCCAACAGGTCCATTTACTAAAAGGAACGCAATAGAAGTTGTCCGATGTAGAATTGTCTCCAGGTCTGTGGAACAACCTAGGTAGTAAAAGAGGAATGATTACGCCTGTTGCTCAATGGTTAGAGTGTCGGCTTTCAAACAGAGGGGTCTTGGGTCTGATTCCCAATCAAGGGGACATATCTGGGTTGCAGGTTCAATCCTGGCCCTGTTCAGGGAGAATGTAGGAAACAACTAATGGATGTATCTCCCTAACATAGATATTTCTCTATCTCTCCCCTCCCTCCTTCCACTTTCTTAAAAAAAAAAAAAAGCCCTAACTGGTTTGGCTCAGTGGATAGAGTGTCGGCCTGCGGACTGAAGAGTCCCAGGTTCGATTCCAGTCAAGGGCATGTACCATGGTTGCAGGCACATCTCCAGTGGGGGGTGTGCAGGAGGCAGCTGATCAATGTTTCTCTCTCATCGATGTTTCTAACTCTCTATCCCTCTCCCTTCCTCTCTGTAAAAAATCAATAAAATATATATTTTTAAAAAAAGCAATGCAAAAAAAATCCTCAGGTTAGGATTAATACACACACACAAAACAGGAATGATGCTTCCTATTTTGTCTCAACAATTCTCAGTGTGATGTATTGTGCTCCACAAAACTGTAAGTAAGCCACTCTAAAACTGCCTTTCTGCTTAGTCCTGAGCAGGTAGCTCAGTTGGTTGGAGCACCGTCCTGATAGGCCAAGGTTGCAGCTTTGATATCTGCTAAGGGAATATACAAGCAACCAGTGAATGCATAAATAACAAACAACAAATCAGTTTTTCCCTTTTTCTTCCTCATTCTAAAATCAATAAATAAAATTTTTTTAAAAACTAAGAAAATAAAATACATCAATCTCTCTTTCCCTTCATCTCCAAAAACAAAAATTTTGGAAAATTAATTTTATAACATTTTCTGAAATACCTAAAATAGCAACTCACAGAATCCATGTTCCATCATAATAAATTAAAATGCAAGCTGTACTTAGTTTACAAAGAACTTTACATATATTTTATACATGGAGGCATCACCAAAAAATGATAATAAAGATTTTGTACAGCTCTACTGTCACTTGGTTTGAATGCTGAGTAAAATGGTCACACACCTCCTTCCTTTTGCTCACTCAGCATATCATGAGTCACTATTGACGTTCTGTGGTACTGCCTTTGAATACTTATAAACCGGGTTTTTTATATAAACTGACTCAGACTCTGAGGACACAGAAGACTTTATATAAAACGTTGGCTTCTGATACTGAAGTGAGGTCAGTAACAACAGACCCCTGTTATACATCAACAAACCATAGGGAAAAGAGATGTGGTTTTATTATTGTTGAGCAATAAGGCATATGATGTTAATTAGTTACCATTTCTATAGTATCAGCAAGACAGAAAAGCAGTGGCATGTGGTGTCTTGACAGACATCAGCGGCCCTACAAGGCATGTGCATCTCGTGCTTCTAATTACATTGTCATATGCAGTGACCATACAAAACACCTTATGTGACAAGAAAAACATAAATACACTAAGAAATTCCTAATTTAGAATTTTCATTTATTCAGTTTTTTCATGGACCTTCATACTTCTGAGTGAAAACCTGTCAACCACTTAGAATTGGGAATTTTTGGTACTCATGTCTATAAAAAGTATATGGCTTCCCTTTATAGCATTATTTCTACGGGCACACATTTCCAACGTCTTTAAATTGTTAGGTTTATCCACAATATGAATTCTCCGAAATACAATATGGTTACATTACTTGCTAAAGACTGTTCCATATTTCCTATTTTCACAAACTTCATTTCTTAGAGCAATTTCTTATGTACACTGAGCTGTAATTTTTTGATGAAAAGATTACCTCAAGTGCAACATTCATTTACTCACTGGACTAGGATTTAACCCCAGTGGCAATGTTTCTAACAGGTAATGAAATTTACACTCTAGAAGGCTTTCTATTATTGATAGTATTCCTCTTTGCTGTTAATTTTCTACTGTATTAGGTTTCACTATAATTTGAAAGGTTTTTAAAACACACTGCATTTCATAGGCTCATTCCACTCTATGACTTCTGATCTATAAAACTGTTAAATCTGCTGAAACTTTCCCTATATAACCTCAATTACAGCTCCTACTCCCCCCCCCAAGAGCACTCAGATATATAATATGTGAGCATTATCTGATTTACCATACTGCATTTCCTGAAGTACAGTAACGTCAGGTCTCTGTCAAAGACATATATTAACCTCATGTCTATGATTTCTTTATGGTATGGGTTCTATGATGGTTAATGAGCTGTGCCTTTTGGGAGAAGGCTTTCCCACAGTCATGGCATTGATAAGGTTTCTCTCCGGTATGAATTCTCTGGTGATTAACCAGCTGTGACTTCTGAGAGAATGCCTTCCTACACTCAGTGCACCCGTAGGGTTTCTCTCCTGTGTGTGTCCTCTGATGTGGTATCAGGTGTGACTTCCGAGAGAAGGCTTTGCCACATTCATTGCATTCAAACGGTTTCTCTCCTGTATGTATTCTGTGATGATTGAGGAGACTTGATTTCTCCCTGAAGGCTTTTTGACATTCACTGCATTCATACGGTTTTTCTCCTGTGTGAGTTCTCTGGTGTCTAATTAGCTCTGACTTCTCAAAGAAAGCTTTCTGACAAAGACTGCATTCATAGGATTTCTCTCCTGTGTGAATTCTCTGGTGAGTATTAAGCTGTGATTTCTGGGCAAAGGCTTTTTCACAGTCCCTGCATTCATAGGGCTTTTCTCCCGTGTGGGTTCTCCAATGAGTTGCAAGACTTGACTTCTCTCCAAAGGCTTTCCCACATTCGGTGCATTCATAGGGTTTCTCCCCTGTGTGTGTCCTTTGATGTGATATGAGATGTGACTTCTGACAAAAGGCTTTCCCACAGTCACTGCACATATAGGGTTTTTCTCCTGTATGAATTCTCTGGTGATTAGTGAGGCTTAATTTTTCACTGAAAGCTTTCCCACATTCACTGCATTCATAGGGCTTTTCTCCCGTGTGAGTTCTCTGATGTCGAACCAGCTGGGATTTCCTGCTGAAGGCCCTCCCACATTTAACGCATATGAAGGGTTTCTCTCCCGTGTGTGTCATCTGATGTGATATCAGATGTGACTTCTGGGAGAAAGCTTTTCCACACTGAATGCACCCATGAGGTTTCTCTCCTGTGTGGGTTCTCTGATGATTAATGAGACTCGACCTCTCTCGGAATGCTTTCTGACATTCACTGCATTCATAGGGCTTCTCTCCAGTATGAACTGTCTGATGTCTAATGAGCTCTGATTTCTCAAAGAAGGCTTTTCTACAATCACTACACCCATAGGGTTTCGTTCCTGTATGAATCCTGTGATGTGTAACGAGTTGTGACTTTCTGCTAAAAGCTTTCCTACATTCTCTGCATTCAAAAGGTTTCTCTCCTGTATGAATTCTATGATGATTAATAAGATTGGACTTCTCACTAAAGGCCCTCCCACATTCATGGCATACATAGGGTTTTTCTCCTGTGTGTGTTCTCCAATGTGATATCAGATGTGACTTCCGGGAGAAGGCTTTCCCACATTCCCCACATTCATATGGTTTCTCTCCTGTATGTGTCCTCTGATGGGATGTGAGTTGTGACTTTTGGGAGAAGGCTTTCCCACACTGGCTACAATTATAAGGTTTCTCTCCTGTATGAGTTCTGTGATGTGTAATGAACTGTGACTTCTGCGGAAAGGTTTTGTCAGATTTACCACAGCCAATCGCTATCTCTCTTATATGTCTGCTCTGGTGCTTCATGAGACTGGATTTCTTACTGAAGCGTTTCCTACATTCACTGCATTCATAAAGTTTCTCCCCTAAACGGTTTCTGTGATAGATGATAATCTGTGACTTCTTATAGTTAACATTATCATATTTATCACACTCATAGTGTTTTAACCAAGTATCAGTTTCCTCAGGCTTGGTATGGAGAAACAATTTATCAAATACATTTAAGTCATCTCGTTCTATTTTTCCATAATCAGCTTTTGGAAGAAGTAAATCTAAATGACGTTTTAAAGTTAAACCATCTACATCACCTTCATTGTTTGATTTCCTTAAAGGAACAAAGTTTATGCTCTGATTGAAATTTTTTCCAAATGCATCACATTCATAATCTTGTTTCGTATTTTTAGGCTTCCCTTGGTTGTCCTGGTTCCACATCATGTGACTATTTACTTGAAAGTCTTGTTCTATAAAGAAAAATGACATTGGTTATAACCCAACCAGCGTGGTTCAGTGCTTGAGCATAGACTATGAACCAGGAGGTCATGGTTCAAGTGTGGGGCATGCAGAAGGCAGCCAATCAATGATTCTCTCTCACCACTGATGCTCCTATCTTTCTCTCTCTTCCTCTCAAATAAATAAAAACATATTTTTTAAAGGGAGGAAAAGAACAAACTCTTTGGGAGGAACAATGCCTGTTCTCTAATACAGTAAGACTGGACAGAGTGGGCTTTCACTGGGTATTTCTCTGGGCATCAGACACCCAAAATGAGGAAAAAGAGAAAAACTCTTAAATGTACAAAACAGAAGTTTCACCAACCAGAGGAGAAGGGAGGACACAAGGAGAGTAAAATGCCGGAGGCAGAAAACCAAACAAAAAAGTCAAAGACCAAGATGTGACAGATGGGAGATGACATCATGACCCTGGAACCATTTCACTTTAGCCAAAAGCAAGACCCAACCAGCGTGGTTCAGTGCTTGAGCATAGACTATGAACCAGGAGGTCATGGTTCAAGTGTGGGGCATGCAGAAGGCAGCCAATCAATGATTCTCTCTCACCACTGATGCTCCTATCTTTCTCTCTCTTCCTCTCAAATAAATAAAAACATATTTTTTAAAGGGAGGAAAAGAACAAACTCTTTGGGAGGAACAATGCCTGTTCTCTAATACAGTAAGACTGAACAGAGTGGGCTTTCACTGGGTATTTCTCTGGGCATCAGACACCCAAAATGAGGAAGAAGAGAAAAACTCTTAAATGTACAAAACAGAGGTTTCTCCAACCAGAGGAGAAGGGAGGACACAAGGAGAGTAAAATGCCGGAGGCAGAAAACCAAACAAAAAAGTCAAAGACCAAGATGTGACAGATGGGAGATGACATCATGACCCTGGAACCATTTCACTTTAGCCAAAAGCAAGAAGCCACAGGTAAAAAGAGGACGTACTTGATAGCTGGTGTCAAAGGTTTAGAGAATTTGAAAGGAGCACTCCACAGCACATGTCAAAGATGCCACCCCCATAACCAGCTGAGATTGTACTTGTACCGTCTCCCATCTGCCTGGTTCTTATACACTCACCTGGAGAGTCTGAACTTGGAACTTCTCCATCTTCTATCCATGGTGCTTCTCCTCGTTCCAACTTGAAAATGACATCAGGTTTCATAAATTCATACCCTATTCAAGGGAAATCACAGAGGTTTTGGCCCTGAATGCCCAATTGGGCTTTATGGCCCCTGAGGAATGGGCACGGTTTGGCATCAGAATAGACTCAGTTAAGCTAACCATTTGTATATCAACAGAGTAAGTAATTCTCAAAGAAATGGTAATGGTCTCCCTGGTGGCTAAGAGGGTCTAAGAACCTTTGACTTACTTTTATGATTCCCGTCCAAAACCATTAAGCGATTCAGAGGCTTGAAGCCAGTGAGCCTGGGCTCAGTGAAATCCAGGCTCTTTCATTTCCCAGCTGTCAGTCCTTTAGAAAGTTACTTAACCTTCCTTTCTTCAATGTCCTCATTAGAAAAACAAAGGAGAATAATCATTCCTGTCCCACAGGGTTATTCTAATGATTACCGAGTCGATATATGAACAGTATGTGGAACACAGTGAGTTGTCTACAGTAGATGCTACCAATACCACTGCGGCTATTATTGAGTCTCAGAGGCTGCACAATGAAAGACTTCATTATTGAAGTCTTCATCCAAATACTTTCCCTGGGGTCATAGTCCAAGAAACTGTGGACTTCTATATTTAGATCCAAAATCATTAGCAATTTCAGAAGTCCTACAACTCTCAGCAACGAAAAGAGCAAAAGCAAAGTACTGGGCACCATGAGGTCCTCTGGGAAGCTTCCTTACCCAGTGCCACCAGGCTGCTGTAGTTCTCCAACATGACATCCTTGTATAAGTCCTTCTGACAGGGGTCCAGCAGCTGCCATTCCTTCTGGGTGAAGTCCACAGATAAGTGTTCAAATGAGATTGACTCCTGTAAAAGCACAATCCTGGTGAAACTGAATCAGTTACCACTCCATGATGTAGAAAAGAAGTATTGGCGCTTGAGAACATAATTCTTAGCCTAGCAAGTCCTAGACAATGCCTACTGTGCCCCTACCTTTGTATCATATTGTGGGATAAAATGCCATTATTCATTCTTCCATCATTCCGTTTATGTAACACACAAGAATTGGACCACACAACTTTAAATCTTCTGAACCAATAAAATACCTAACCTCAAATTTGGCACCAGAAGAGGTGCTGGCAAAATAAAAATGATAAAACTTGTCATATTCTGTTACATTAAAATCTATTGTTTTATCTTGTTGTTTGAGTGACTCATTTACCCTTAATGATTTTACAACATATGCATTGGGCATGTGAAACGTATTGGTCCCCTGAGTTAAAGTCTCATACACACAAAAAAGGCTTTACCAGTTAATTCTGTAAACATTTAATGCAGTAATTATTCCAATTTTACTAAACTCATACAGAATATTAAAGCAAGAATATAACCCTCAACTTTTTGATACCAGTATAATCGTGGTAACAAGACCCAATAAGGATACTGCAAGAAAGGAAAAGCAAAAGCCAACTCACACAAAAACACTGATGAAAATCCTAAACATATTACCAAGCTATATTGAGCAATATATAAAGAACAAAATATATTAAGACCAAGTTGGTTTACCATTTTTTAAAAGGGCAATGATATTCACTACCTTAATAGAGTAAGAAAAAATATATGATCACTTCAAGGGATGCAAAGTATATCTGAAAATGGAAGCATGCAAATCACAGGAACTGCAAATATAGATACACCTAACACAGAGTTTTTAAAAGCACATTTAAATTTTTCAAAAAGAAGGTCTAGATTTCATAAGGAATAAATAGTATGAAAATGAATAAACAGATTAAATAAACAAAATTAATATACCAAAAACTGAAAAATAATTAACATTTATTTGTTATAAAAAGTCTTGGCAGCCCTAATCAGTTTGGCTCAATGGATAGAGTGTCGGCCTGTGGACTGAAGAATCCAAGGTTCAATTCCGGTCAAGGGCACAGGCCCGGGTTGTGGGCTGGATCCCCAGTGGGGGGTGTGCAGGAGGCAGCCGATCAATGATTCTCTCTCATCATTGATGTTTCTCTCTCTCTCCCTCTCCCTTCCTCTCTGAAATCAATAAAAAAATTTTTTGAAAATAAATAAATACATTTTATGTTACTATTTTATCTTAATTGCAGGTGGGGTTGGGGGGATATACAAACAGCCTTGATATATCTTGCCAAACTAGAAAGCAATAATCCAGTCAATAAAGAAAAAATGATAGAAGTGGGATGTTATCGTTTTGCAACGCCTAATGAAATACTCCATCTAGGCCAGCGGTTCTCAACCTGTGGGTCGCGATTGTCGGAAAACACATATAGCATATCCGATATTTACATTATGATTCATAACAGTAGCAACATTACAGTTATGAAGTAGCAACGAAAATAATTTTATGGTTGGGGGTCACCACAACATGAGAACTGTATTAAAGGGTATTAGGAAGGTTGAGAACCACTGCCTTAGATAGAATTCCTGGGACAAACTAAGATTTAAAAGAAGCATGATAAACAAAAATGTAATTCTGATGCATAAAAACACTTGCACTTTCACCTTCTTCACTGTAACTGCAATGATGTCACAAACAAACACAAAGTGGAAGGACAGAGATGCGTCTGCGTCAGCGCACAACACCACACGACAGGGTTTCAGGATGAATCTCAGAAAGACACTGCACGGAAAAGCAGGGACCGGCTATGAAATCGGGCCCTGGCTCCCTCTGAGGGGAAGTTTGACGGACAGGGCATCACGAGGCTGTCCTTGGTCTGAGGGGAGTGTGACAGGGAGCAAGGTCACGGGTCTTCTTTGTCAGGAGGGAGACGTTATGACCTGAATGGGAATTTCATGTGTATTCAACTAATCATTCATTAAACTGTACTTTTTACCTTTTGTTTACTTTTCTGCATATTTTTTCTTTTAATTTTATTCTGCATGTGTTTCTGCTTCACAATTAAAGAGGTAAATAAATAATTATAGTCACACTCAGTGGAAAATTGTGAAAAATGGCCATAAGACACGTGTGTTTATTACAATATTTCTCTTGAGGACATTACCCACTATATCATTTATTAAAAGACTTCATCAACGAGTGAGTATATAAATATTTACTTTATATGAAGAATTAATTTGCTTTTCTCTTTGGACAATACAACTCACATAAATGCTCATATTTATTTAGTACATCTGCCCAAGAAATTGAGAACCAACAGTGCAGCTCATTTTCAGAAATTATGGCCTATAACAATGAAAACCTTAAGAGTATCACAAGGGCCTATAGTTAATGTATTACTGCTCCAATTTTGTTCCAATCCAGATCTTTTCTTCTGAAGCTATTTGCCCCTAATTCCTTAACTATTTCTATTTTTCTTTTTCACTGGAAAAGTTACATACTTCTAATCTCCTGGAAAAATAACCAGGAATAAACAATCCACTCACCTGTAACGTGGTCATTTTCTGTTCCCTGTGTGAGGTGATTAGCAAGTCTGAGCTCTTTCTATGCTGCGCTTCCTCCGCTCGTGCCCCAGAGCTCTGGTGTGAGGTCGTGGCTGGGTCTCGGACGCTGGGAATGGGTTCTTGGCTCCAGGAACTCCTTTCTTATGCTGCCAGAGGAGGCTCATGTGTGAGAAGCCAGGATCTACGGACTTAGGGACAAATGCACTTCAACTGGTATAGTCACACTGCACCTCAAATGTTCTCTTGCTACGAACTAGGAATTCATGACCATCTAAGGCCAGAGGGTGTTTCCTATACAACTGAAACGGGGTTATTGGGCAGGAGGGGGACCTGGTGGGAAAGGACAGCGGAAGTCTATGTCTCCGCAGACAGATGACGTAATATCAGGGCCCTGGCTGGTGTTTCCCTGTGGTTAGAGCATCGGCCCATACACTGAAGGGTCGAGGGTTCGATTTCCAGTCCAGGGCTAGTGCCTGGGTAGCAGGTTCGATCCCCAGCCCAGTAGGGGCATATGTGGGAGGTAATCAACCAATGTGCCTCTTTCACATCGATGCCTCTCTCTCTCTCTCTCTCTCAATCTGTCTCTCTCTCCTCCCTCTCCCTCCCTCCCTCTCCCTCCCTCCCTTCCACTCTCAAAAATCAATGCAAAAAATATATCCTCGAATAAAAAAAATATACCAGAAATAAAGTAAGTCTGAGATCCATTCCATGTTCACTGTGGAACGTGAAGTGTAAGTCACGTTAAGAGGAGCGGTGGCCCTGGCCCGTGTTGTAGCTCAGTCAGTTGGACCGTCATCCCATATACCAGGTTGTGGCGGGTTCAATTCCCGGTCAGGGCACATGCCCAGGTTGCAGGTTTGATCCCTGGTTGTGGCGTGTACCGGAGGCAACCGATTGATGTTTCTGTCCTGCATTGATGCTCCTTTCTCTCTCCTCTCTTCTTTTTAAAAAAAATCAATAAAAAGTTTAAAAAGAAGAAAAAAAAATCCACAAATTTTAAAAAGAAGCTTTAAGAGATGCTGTGAAGATACTCTATTTTAGGCAGATAGAATCTTAGAAAGCTTATTGGAGAGAATATACAGAACTAAAAATTTCAGGTGAACAGGGCCTGATAAGCCATCAGTATGGTAGTTGGAAAATATTTCTGATGAAATTTAGGTTTGCTACTCAGAACAATGAAAACTCACCCTTATTTTAGTTTAATTTAAAAAATGTTTTTGGCCCTAGCTGGTTTTTCTCAGTGGTTAGGACGTCGGCCTGTGGACCGAAGGGTCCCAGGTTCGATTCTGGTCAAGGGCACATGCCCAGGATGTGGGCTCGATCCCCAGTAGGGGGCATGCAGGAGGCAGCTGATCAATGATTCTCTCTCATCATTGATGTTTCTATTTCTCTCTCCCTCTCTGAAATCAATTTTTTAAAAAAATGTTTTTGGAAGTTGGCCCTTGTGGGAGAAGTTCCCCCTGAATTCTTATATTTGGCTCTCACATGTCCCCTCAGCAAATGGAAACCTAAGCCCTTCATTGCCGGGTTTTGTTTTGTTTTTACCTTGGCAGTTTCCTGGATAACGTGACAGCTCTCAGTGGCAGCTCTCACATTTATCTTCAGAAGGAAGCGGCCGCCTTCACCATCATCCTGCAGTTCCACCCAGCACCAAGGTCTGAAGGAATTTCAGAGGAAAGGCACAGAATCAGTAAAAGTAACATTTACACTTACACGTCAGTGCCTTATGCACCGTATTGCCTTTTTCACTGCACTCAGCACACAGGTTCATCAACGTGCCCAACATCAACGACATGCCTAGGAAGTGGCAGGTCTGGGCCATTGGTCCCCTGCATCCACCCGAGAGCAGTGACCACAGCAACTCAGCGATAGTGGAGGGAAGGGAGGACAAAGGCCCAGAGTCCTGCTTATGGTCCTCGTGTCGGAGCGACACAGTCCCGTCCAGAAAAGACAGCAAGGGGCAGAATAAGCAAAAAAAGACAGAGAGCTGCTCTCTCTCTTTTTTCCTGAGGACACGCCCGACTCTCCTCTCTCATCCCTCAAGGCACAAATCGCTCTCCTTCTTTCTCGAAGTTTTAAGGGCCCTTCTGCTACTTCTGTAACTTTCAATAAATTTTCCCTTACTAAAAAAAATAATAATAATAAATAGCCAGTTGAAAAACCCCCCAGGTTAATTTAAACTTACCACTTGGGTCAAAATATTCCAAGTTACAAAAAGACATTCATGATATACTGTAATGGTTTTAAGCAGCATATACAGCAGAGTCCCAATTTTGTGTTTTTAAAGGAAATATAAATAAGAAGTACTAAAAACATATACACACTAATGGCTAAAAGAAATGGACCAAAATATTAGCAGTGACTATCTCCTGTTGAAGGAATAATGATTTTCATTTGAAACTGTTTATCAAGATGCTCAAAACTGACTACGGTGGACACATTTTAAATTTACAATAAAGTATAAATTTTTTTAACGTTAGTCCTTTAACCAAAAAAATAAACAAGAGACAAGCAGAGCAGTTTCAGTTTAGCATTACATGATTGAAACAAAGCAAGCAGCGAATACTTAGAAAGTATGTTTTAATGACAGCAAAAAGCATGGAAACTCGGGGGGGGGTGGGGGTCATTTCTTTCCACTCCCTCACTTTCATAGGAAAACCGTTAGACCCAGAAATCGTCAGTGGAGAGTTAAGGACTTCAGGCCAATGATGACGTCCCTGCCACACCAACAGCTGTCACACATGTGTGTGTGTGTGTGTGTGTGTGTGTGTGTGTGTGTGTTTTCGGGGAATGCGGAGGGGGTGTCGTTTGCCTTTTCTTTTCTTTCTTTTTTTACTTTATTTTAGGAGAGAAACGCTTTTAAAAACTGTTGATTAACGTCAAGCTGAGCTGGGTGAGGTCAGGGTGGAGGGGGATAGCAATGGAGTCACCCTTAGCACGGGACTACCCCTGGGGATCCGGGCACTCGCACCATCAGCTCTTTCTGTTGGGCCATAAGCCCCAGCCCTTCCTTCAACAGGACCGGACCTGGGCTCCCGGACCAACTCGTCCAGGGATGCCACGTGCGGGAGGCGCCAATTTAAAAAATCGGCTGAAAGTCC